TTTAAGTAGTCTGATGAGCGATTTACTTCTGCTTGGAGTAATGTGGCAGGTCTGCACTTAGGCGCTATTAGGGTAGCTGAGTAATGCTAGACTTAGTTGTTAAACATTGATGTAATTGTTGTAATTACTAGAATATTAATAAAATACTAGCGTGACTGCCTAAGGTTAAAAAAAAAAAAAAAAAAGTTTGTAGTAATGTAATAATGGTCTTAGTAAAATTTTATCCAAAACTATTAAGCTGTTAATGCTATACATCTATTTAAATTTTGCTAATAATTATTATAAAATTATTTTCTATTAAAAAATCTTTATTAATAAATTTTATTGTATGACCACATATAGTTTTGATTTAATATATCATGCACTCCAACATGTATATCTAGAGGTTATACTATCTTTGGATATTTAAAGTTTAAGTTAGAACTATACTTCATATTGGCACATTATGATTAGGATTAAAGCATAGGTTTATATGAATAATTCAAGTATTAATCTAAAGAGTCTAATCAACTACAATATGCATGAGCATAATAAATGCTTATTATCATACAACTAAATTTATTTGCCTGGCTATACTTTATATAGAACTTAATAGAATTTGAGTCAGTATAATTTAGAATTATATAGCAATTTTTAAATTTATTAAATATGCATTATTTCAAAATATGTATTGATGTTATTTATTTTTAAATTAAATACACCAAGCCAAGTTTTTATCATATAAACTTATTATCTAAACTGTCCCAATAATAATAAACCTTCATAATAATTTAATATCTAAGTTTGATTAAAGTGTAACATATGCCAATATATATAATATACTATATACAATAAAACAGTAAAACAGTTTTAATCAAAAACAAAATATAGATTTTTTTTTTAGTGTTACTTATTTATACTTATACAAAACAAATAAGTAATTTTTATTTTTTTAACTTATACTATTAGTATTTATTAACCTAACTCTAAATTAATTTTATTAGAGATATGTCTATGAGAATGATATTTACATACAGCATATTCTGCTATCTGATCAGTAAGTCCATATCTATAAACATCTATATAGTGTTATGCTTTTTGTACAAAACAATGTATAGTTGTGAGTGATACTAAATCAAGTGCTTCAGGTACAATAACTTGTAATCCAGTTTATGAATAGTCACAATGTTCATGTAAATAATATTTAGCAGCACCCTAGTATCGTTCAATGAAATTTAGCTTACAGTGAAACTTGTGGTAAAATATACAAACATGTTCTCATTTAACAATAAGTTTTTCTAATACAAATTTTTGCATAGTAAAATCAGGCTATGCAGACAAAAGGTGATATATATAGCAATTAGGCATACTTGGATTATAATAGTTATTTTCACACTTTAGTCTTAGACTACTAGCAGACCACAAGCTTTATTCAAGAAGCATTTGTTTAATGTCTTTTGGCTGATCACAGAAAATATAATTAGAATTACTAAGAAGAAGGTTTTTAGAAAAAATTATTTGCTAAATAACTCAGTCATCTTGTTCATCAATAAACTATCTATTGCATAATCTTGACTGTTTACTACCAGGATAAAGGTTATCTTCTTAGCACATAACATGTCATTTGCAAAAGCACTATGATTGGTGCTATTGTTAAATATGAAAACACCAATACAGTTTAGATGTGTTGCTTCAAAAATAGGAATTGCTTTATTAGCTACTTGTGTAAGCAAATTAGAACCATTCCACCAGCCTTTATCATTTTTATCAGGTTTAATAATTACACAAGCTTCTTGTAGAAATATTGGCAGCAGGTTTAATTTATCGATTTTTTTAAGAGTAATTGTGAGGTGATCATAAGTCTCAGTTAAAAATTCTGAAACCATAAGTGATTTATCTATTTCTTTTTTGTGTAGTGGTGGCATACCAAGAGGGGTCCACACTGAAGGATAACTATCATTAGTATAGAATGTACACTCATCATGGGTGACAAAAATATGAACTTGTTGTTCTTCACTTATTTCAGGATTTATAACTATTTTCATATCTTCACCAACAAATTGTAACATTAAAGTTTCAAGGTTTTTTATTTTTTCAAGAAATACTGTATGATATTGTACAATATCAGAATGTTTATGTCCATTATAATAAATACCTTGTTGGTGTAGTTGATATACAAGGCCAAGGTGATGAAGCCAGATTCGAGCTGTTTCTAATAAAATTGATATATGAGAACTAGTAACATACAATAAGACATTGTTCTGAACATAATGCTAAAATTTTTCAGCAGTTATTCTTTCACCTATAGAACAGATAAAATATAAACAAGAACTTTATATATCCTCATTATTAATAAGAGTTTATGTATATTTTCATTGTTCTTGCTTATATATAAGTAAAGTCCCAGTTGTTATCTAACTCTTTGACCATTTACAAATATGATGTCCCATCTATGGACCATGTTGAAAAACTTTTTGTAATATTTTAAGACTTAATTTTATATATAATTGGAACTCTTTATAATTATTAAAGATTGCAGTAAGGTATTTATATATAGCTAAAAGATGAAGATATTCATAATTATTTATATTTTTTGTATCTTTAAGTTTATTATTTAATTTATACAATTGTTCTAAACTAGAACTGTTATTTTCTACATCTAAATCACTTATATTTGAGTCTGACATCTTATATTCAATTTTTAGCTTTTTTATTAGTTTAAAAAAATTATTCAAACTTATTGATCCTTGTGCTACCTTTTGTAAGTCTTTATTTTTTTGTTGTTGAGTATGTTTTGAACCACCAGAATAATATAGTAACTGACTACCAGATGCTTTATTATCCCATTTAAGATTATAAAAAGAACTATTTTTATAAATTAATTGTTTAGTCTTCTTATTAAGTTCTGTCTTCTCATTATTAAATTCCTCTCTATTACTGTTTTCAGATTCAAAAACTAAAAGTACTGGATCACTATATTCTTGATCACTATATTTTAAATTACTATTTTCAGTAACTGTAAATTTTGAAAATTTTTCATCATTATTTCTACTTTGTGTAAGTATATGTTCTTTTGCAGCATTTTTAAGTTTTAATTTTAGCATTGTCAAATTTATAAATATAGAGTGTAACAAGACAAATATCATAAAGACAAGATAATTAAAAACATCACTTTAGTAAAAAATGTAGCTTTATATAAACATCTATAATATGCTACATTACTACTAAAGTTAATTTACACTTATTTTTGTTTGAAACTCATAACATCTATTATTAAATTAGGTTCATAAATTTAGATTAGTTTTTTAAAAAAAGTCTGTACACTGTTAAAATGATAAAAAATGAAAACTTGTAAATAAATTAATGAATTTTACTTTATCAACCCCAAAGAATCTAGACTATTATTAGATATAATGTTTTTTTTATTAG